CCCCCAGCCGGCCCCGCCCCTCCGGGCGGCTGAGCTGGCCAGTCTCTGGCCAGGACGTCCAGTGCTGCGGCCGCTGCCCGCGTGCTTCTAGCCTGCCCTCCTGGGGTTAGCCAGCCGGCTTCACCCTCTACCCACTCCCCACCGTGCTGGGCAGAGACGGCCCACGGACGCCTGGGAGGTGGGGAGGAGGCCTGGCCCTGGCACCCTTCCCTGGCGTCCTTTGGCAGCCGGCCTCGCAGATACAGGGTGCCAGGGAAACCTCTGCTGGAGTGTGGGCCAACCTGGACACACTCCTTTCCGGAGCCACCTGGGGGTGGGAGTCTGGGGGAAAATTCAATCTCTGTGTTTCAGACCTTCCTTAGTGGAGTTGTTTGAGGTCCCCCTTCTGAGCCTGGGTTTCCCCCTCTTTGTGGTATCTAAGGTCCTTCCCCACTATGGGATCTGGTGATGAGGGGAGGATGGTGGGGCCAGGGTAGGATTAGGCACAACATCCTGACAGCCTTGCCTTCCCCTGAGGGCCTGGCTCAGGCCAGTGAGCAGAACACAGAATCAGTTAATTCTCGACTGTGGGATTTCTCTGCCCTCCCCCCCTTAGTCCTACCCTCACCTCCCTGGCCCTTCCCATGCCTTGTCCTGGTTCAGCAGAAACTGTAGGCTGGTATTTGGGGGCATTGGAAGGGTTAAGGGGCACCATAATGTTACAGGGTCAGCCAGAGTCACAGCCTTGGGATACAACTGGGCTGACCAGAACAGGGGAGAAAGTCAGCAATGTGCTTTGTGAACTTTAGTACATTTCCTTCCCTCTCTGGGCTTCAATTTTCTCATCTAAAATGATTTGGACTAGATCAGTGTTTCTTAAACGCCTGTCCCATGGGTTGTTCAGAGGTGTCATGTGATAAAAGGGCTTCATTAAAAACAAACTCGGGAAACCGTGGTGTTAAAATTGACAGAATTTCTCTTTGAAGGCATTTCTGGGAGGCTTTTAGACGCTAAGGTGCATTGTGACTGTGTAGGAGGGGGTTAGTTGGAGTACACTTCCCACATTGATTTTGCCTTGGGACTTTTCTGTTGTGTCTCCTGGAGCTGTTGTTCCTGGAGCTCACTTTGAGGAATGCCAGTGAGATGCCTCAGGGGCGAGGTGGTTTCTCAGGTGGGGCTGGGAAGGGGAGCCCCAGGCAGGTGTCAGGGTGCCCCCTGCTCACTGACACCGCTGTCCTTCTCAGCTGCCCAACATGTTTGGGAACCTGCGATCCACCTTCATGGCCCTCATGATCGGCTCTTATGCCTCTTCTGCCATCACATTCCCAGGAATCAAGGTAGGAGCTGCTTGGGGTGGCAGTGAAGTCACCTGGGTTTTCCGTTTACCTTGACACAAAACTGGGTGGGGCTGGGTGAGTAGTGGCTGTTCGAACTGGTGATTCTGTCACTGACCTGTGGGTCTGACTTCTTTGTCCCCTCCTTTCCTTTGCCATTGTTCTAGCACAGGCCTTCTTCCTCTCTCCTGGGCCAAGGCAACCTTTCTCAGCTGGTCTGTCTCCGATCTTTTCTCTCTCTAATCTGTCATTCACATGACTTCCAGAGGATCTTAGGTGAACTGGCTCACACACAGCTGAAAAACCTTCAGTGGTTCTGCTTCACCCACAGAATCAAGTCCAACCCTTTGCTGACCTAAAAGAAACTCAGGCTGAACATATAAAGCATAGGATTTATTGAGCCAATGTGATGATTGTGAACAGGGAAATGCATAGGTAAGGTCGCCCTGAGAAATGCACTCTGAGGAGAGCCAGCAGAGCTTAAGCATTTTATAATCACAGGAAGGAGTAAGGATCAAAGGACAGCCCCGCCTAATCACTTCATCAGGTTTTCTACTGGTTGTAAATGACGTATAGATTTGGGATGGTTACTAGGTTACATCCTGCTTGTGGGGATCTAGGGTAAGGGTTATAAGAAGTCATCTAGGTTATTTTATGACTTCTGGTGCCATCACATCTGTTTCTAAGTAAAAATGGTCTTTTGATAACATTTTCCAGAACAGGTGGACATGTCTGCTGGCTTATCCCAGATCTCCCAAGGCACTACAAATTAGTTGACCTGGTCAGAACAGATTTTTTTTTTTTGTTATCACCCATCACGTGCATTCAAGGTCCCCGACTCTTTGGCCTCATTCAACCTCTCAGTCACATCTGTTACCACAACTTCCGGAAAGGCTGGGTGACTTGGTCCATGGTCACAAAGTGAGTCCATGCCAGGCTAGATCCTGGACAGGTCAGCCTGGTGGACGTGGGAGCCAGGAGGCCTGAGTTTTAGCTCAGGGCGAGCTGGGGGCCTGTTTCTTCCTTCCTCTGTCAAATGATATCAAAGCAACCCCTCAACTGGGCCGTGATATGCTTCTCAAACTCCACCTTGGCACTTTAACTTGTTAATTCAGAGGGCACTTGGCTCAGACTCTCCAAAAGAGTTTGAGAGTGTGCATGGGTTGGGGTGGTCCTTGGTGGTTCTGGTGGGCAGGCGTGGAGGGTGGGCAGTTTTCTCTTCTCTTCAACTGAGGGAGTAGAGTTTGAGGAACCAGGTCTCATCCCCACAATTTGGGGATGTGGCCCTTTAAAGCTCTGTTCTGCTCCAGGGAGGAAAGAGCCCCGAAACCCAAAGCTGAGGAGGAGCAGAAGTTTTCCCAGGCAGAGACTGGAGCTCCAAGCGGGAGCTCGAGGGGAGGGCAGACGTCAGTCATCCCAGGCAGATGGTATGGGAGAGGACAAGAGGAACAATATCCTCTCTGCACCAGGCTTCTTCCATCAGAGGGGCTCACACGGTTGCAAAGAATCCCCATCACTTCAGAACCTACTTGTCCTGGTTTAGGAGGCTTGAGCACTTATACCTTCCCCCCTCAGTTTTCATACCTGGGAGCACCTGTGAAAGGTGAGATAAGGCTTCTCAGAGTAGGTTTGCTTTTCCTTCCAGGGAACATGCCAGAAAGCGGCAGGATAAATAGGGTTACGCCTGGTAAACCTAGAGCATTAATTTTCCTTTGTACGTAATATGAAATGACATTTTTGTGTGAACATAAACACGAATGTCTATGGAGTCACAGGCAAAATGCACGTGCCTTTATCAGTTGACATTTTGAGCGAGTGGCCAGCAACTGCAGCACCTTGTGGGGACTATTTCACACCTCTTTAGGGGGGCTTGGGTGAAAAAGGAAGAGGAATGCTGGGTCTTCTGACTCTAACTTCTGGCTTTGGTTTCCTCATCTGCAACTCGGGCACAAAGAGACGGGTAGAAGGGACCTCGGAAGCCTCTTTTACCTTGGTGGGGGCTGGGGCCAGGCAGCCTCCCCCACGGGCCTGCCCCCTCCTCCCACAGCTGATCTACGACTCCGGCGTCTCCTTCATGGCCATCATGTTCACGTGGTCTGGCCTGGCCTGCCTCATCTTTCTGAACTGTGCCCTCAACTGGCCTATCGAAGCCTTTCCTGCCCCTGAGGAAGTTAATTACACGTGAGCGGCTGGAGGGAGATGGGGGCTGGGGCTGTGGTGTGTGTGTTGGGCAGAATCAGCTGTGGAGCCAGAGTCTTGGATTTGGTTCTCAGCTCGGCAGATCGCCTCAGCTCTCTGAGTTCTCCTTTCTCACCTGCACAATGGGCCTGATCCCACCTATCCACAGGCAGGTTCTAGTGGGTTTTTTTTTGGTGGCTGGCCAGTATGGGGATCTGAACCCTTGGCTGTGGCGTTGGCAGCACCATGCTCTAACCAAGTGAACTAACCAGCCAGCCCCCACAGATGTTTTTAAGTAATAAAGCTGGCACATAACAGGTAGTTTAAATGTTTTGGCTGTTACTGCTATATTTTCTGGGTCTGGAGGAGGTTGGAGTAGGAAGAACCCCAGCAATAGCTCCAGATGCCAAGTGGACCCAGAAGAGGGGATACAAAGAAATCAGGCCGCCCAACACTTCGTGGAGAAACCCGAATGTCAATTTTTCCTAACCCCATATCAGTTCAGCAGGGGTCAGGGGTGATGCTCCACATCCCAGCACATAAGGTGACAGGTGACAGTCATATAGCTGACATTTATTGAGTGCCTACTGTATGCCAGGCACTCTACTTATCCCCTGTCATTCTCAAACAGTTGTATAATGTAGATTCTGTTATTAACTCCATTAATAACAAAGGTGCGGGGAGCAAAGTGACTTTCCAAAGGTCATGCCATTGAAAAGGGGGTGAATCTAAGGCTGGAATGAGGCTGACTTCAGACTCTGAATTCTTAATGTCACCTCCTCCATGGGAACAGCCTAAGTGAAAAACAACTGATCCACTCTCCTTTCACTGGGAACCTGCTCTAAGGTGGCTCCTAGGCCAGGCTCTGAGCAGCACAGACACAAGCCCTGCATTACGGAGCTTATTACCGGGCATACCAGTGCTGGGTTAAGGGGTTCTTGGCTGGCACCGCTGGGACAGACTGGGATGTTGGCCTAGATGTAGGCTGTTGAGGGTGAGCTCCATGTGGCTGATTCCCACACGCTCTCGGCTGGCTGCCGGCAGGAAGAAGATCAAGCTCAGTGGGCTGGCCCTGGACCATAAAGTGACAGGTGACCGCTTCTACAACCACGTGACCACCGTGGGCCAGCGCCTGAGCCAGAAGGCCCCCAGCCTGGAGGAGGGGGCCAACATCTTCATCTCATCCCAAGATGTTCGTGGCATCTCGAAAAACGTTCCTGAGAGTGAGTGTGTGCTCAGGGTGCCAGCCTGGGGGATGGGGAGGGTGGGTCCTCATGCTTAGTGAGTACTCACGTCTGAGCGCTCATTCTCACCTCTCTTGGGTCCTCACAACACCCCATGATGCAAGTAGGGCTTTCTTCCTATTTACAGATGGGGAAAGTCAACGCTCAGACAACTCTGGGAAGTTCAGATTCAGGGGTACCCTGCTGGATTCCGGGGATGGGGAGAGAGGAGCTTTCAGAATGGGGGCCGGGCAGGCCTGTGGGCAGCTGGTTTCCTCAGGGCTCCCTGCAACCTCTGAGCCTATTGCATCAGGTGCAGCCAGGCCAGCGAGTCTCCAGGCAGGAGCCTTCTAACACCTGGCTGGCTGGTGCCCCCTGCTGGTCACAGGAGGAGCTGCACCCACTTTCTGCCAGGGTTACTTCCTAAGGAGCCTGAGTCCCCTGGACAGTCAGCTCCATGATTAGTGGAAGGAGCATGGGCCTTGGAGTCAGGAGATTGGGGTTTTGAGTCCTGCTCCCAACTTACAGGCTGTGTGATTTGGGCAGATTACTTACCCTAACTCTTGCTTTCTTCATCTGTTCAACTAGCACTAATAACACCCACCAAACAGAGAGGTTAATTGTGAGGAATGAATGATGCTGGGGATGTGGAAGCTCTTTGTAAAGTGCAAAATGGTGTGCATTTATGAGGGTGGTTATCTCCACTGCTGATCCTCATCGGGCAGAGTGGCTCAGGGCACGAGCCTGAGTCAGGCAGACCTGCCGCTTCCAGCCCTGTGAGCCCAGGCAAGTCATTTAGCTCTCTGTGCCGCAGTTTCCTCATCTGTAAAATGGGGTGAAGATAGGGTTGTTGTAAGAGTTGGTTAAATGGGATGATATGTGTCAAGTGTGCAGCACATGGCAAGTGCTTCAGAGTTAATACTACATGAAGTGTAGGATTTGTACATATCCAGAGGTCACCTAAAAATGATCTGTGGAGATAGTTGTATAACTGGGCAAGAACATGGAGGCAAGTGAGTCCAAACCCTCCTGTCTCTGAACCAGTCCCTCTCTGAAGTAACATAGATCGTGTCAGATCCCCCACTAGAACTGCAGGAGCTGAGACTATCAGAGGGAAGTGGAAAGTCTGGGGCCCAGGGGTGCACCCTGTTGTCTCCCCAGGGTCTGTCCCCTTTCGCAAGAGCCTCTGCTCCCCTATTTTCCTGTGGAGCCTCCTCACCATGGGCATGACCCAGCTGCGGATCATCTTCTACATGGGCGCCATGAACAAGATGCTGGAGTACCTTGTGACTGGTGGCCAGGAGCACGGTGAGGCACTGCTGAGCCCCCTGGGGAGTGGGGGACACAGGAGGGTCACGCTGGCTGAGCTCCCTTCACCATGTCTCCCCTCCACCCACAGAGACGAATGACCTGAAACAAAAGGCAGCAGAGACAGGTAGGGAGATGAAAGCAGGGCCCTGCCCACAACCACCCTGCCATTGCCCACTCTGCAGGGGCGGGACTCCACCCTGGTGACCCTGGGCATTTGGGGGATCTAAGAATCTGGCGTCCAAGGAGGGCTCTTTTGGCAATGTCTGTCGTCTACTTCAAGTGGGTGGCAGTGCCCACTGAGCTGCTGGCATCCCTCAGCCACCTCCTGACCTCACTTCCCTTCCTGACCTACCCAGTTGGCTTCTACTCCTCCGTCTTTGGGGCCATGCAGCTGTTGTGCCTTCTCACCTGCCCCCTCATCGGCTACATCATGGACTGGAGGATCAAGGACTGTGTGGATGCTCCAGCTGAGAGCACTGCCCTCGGAGATGCCAGGTGACCCGTGCAGGGATGGTGACAGCAAGTGGTCAGACAGTGCTTTTCATTTTCTCTGTACTTTCACATCCAGCATCTCATTTCATTCTCCCGAGAGCCCTGGGAGAGCAGGGGTACCTTCCCATTTTACAGATGAGGAAACTGAGGCAAAGAAGGGCCATAGCTTGCTTGATAATAAGAATAGCTAACATTAAATGCTGACTATGCACCTTGCATTATCTTATTTAGTCCTGTAGCAGCTCTCAGATAGTTACGTTATCATCCTCATGTTACAGATGAGGAAGCTGAGACACAGGGTTACACAGTTAAGTAACTTACCCAAGATCACACAGCTTTCAGGAGCAGGCTCCAGAACTCATGCTCTAAAGGGTTTACTTTAAACCTTGTTAGGCCTAGGAAGAGAGAGAGTTGGTGAATTAGATCTCTATCGCTGTATAACAAATTACTCCCAAACTTGGCATCTTTAAGCAGCAAACATTTATCATCTCATACAGTTTTAGAGAGTCAGGAATCTGAGCGTGACCTAGCTGGGGGATTCTAGTTCAGGGTCACTCATAAGGTTGTAGTCAAGCTGTCAGCCAGGGCTGCAGTCATCTGAAGTATTGACTGGGGTTGGAAAGTCTGCTTCAAAGCTCACTCGTGGCTGCTGGCAAGAGGTTCACTCCATAGGGCTGCTCAGGACACGGTGGCTGGAATCCCCAAGAGCAAGAGCTCGAGGAGAGAGAGACCAAGACCAGAGCTGCCGTGTCTTTCATAACATAATCTCAGAAGTAACATAGCATCACTTCTGTCATAATCTGCTGGTCTCACAGAGGAACCCTGGTAGAGTGTGGGAGGGGACTACACAAAGGTGGGCATGCCACGAGGCAGGGATCATTGGGGGCCATGCTGTTGGCTGGAGACCACCACTGGGTCTTGAACCCAAGTCTTCTGACTGCTTTTGGCCTTTGTGTGTTGATCAAATAGCCCTGAGAGGATGGGAGAGGAAGACTAGCCTAGAAGGAATCTAAGAATCAGTCCAGTGGCTTCCCTCCTGGCCAGTGGTGCCCCGACCCTGGCACCCAGTCTTCCTCCTCTACCCTCTGCTCCTGATGGCCGGGGTCCATTACCAGGGCCCTCTGTCCAGGACATGTGGGCAGCCTGTTCTCACTGCAGCCTGCTGACTTCTCTCCTGAGCTGGCCTCAGAGCCCTTGATCATGCCAGAGAGAGGAGCTTGCTGGGCAGTCAGGGCAGAGCTGCTGTCTTCAGACTGGCATCTGCTTTTGTCCAGGCTGGTAGGCAGAGACACCTTCCCTGCAGCTTCTGATGAGAGACAGTGTGAGAGCTCCCCAATCCCCACCTTCCTTCCCATCCCCTGGTCTCAAACTTTAGTGTGCATGAGAAACACTCAGGATATTTGTTGAAAGTCAGATTCCTGGGCTTCACCCCTGAGATTCTGAGGTCTGAGGTTAGGCCTGTGAATCTGCATTGTATGAAAGCCCCCAGCTGATGCTTGTGTAGCTGGTTGGGGGAACCACACTTTGAGAAATGCAGAGTTGGAGAAATGGTTTTCTACCTTTTCTGCTGCCCCAACAGCGAAAGTCCATCAGGAAGGGAAGGGGCCAGGCTGAGAGAACCAGGGGGCTGCCAGGGAGGTAGAGACAATGGCCAATGACTGCCTGTTCTCCTCAGGGATGGGGTGGCCTCCAAGTCCATCAAACCACGCTACCGCAAGATCCAAAAGCTCACCAATGCTATCAACGCCTTCACCCTGACCAACTTTCTGCTTGTGGGTTTTGGCATCACCTGCCTCATCAACAACTTACACCTCCAGGTACCCACTTCCACCCCTCCCCCTCGCGCTGCCTCCCAGGACTCCTCCAAAGGGACGGCTCACCGGTGCCTGCCTTCCTGGAACCATGCCTCTCGTCCTCTGGTCTGGGTCTGACTGTTTCCAGGTTCTCTAGGAAGTGTTTCTAGGGATTGGGTTGGCGAGGCGGGTAGGGACGTGTAGACGGCTCAGCAAGGCCGCCGTGTCCCTCTTCTCCCGACCCACCCTTCCTCCTACTCCGACGCTCTTTCTTAACCTCTTCTCTCTCTCTCTCTTTTTGCTTTCAGTTCGTAACGTTCATCCTGCACACCGTGGTTCGAGGTTTCTTCCACTCTGCCTGTGGAAGCCTCTACGCTGCAGTGTGAGTTTGTTGGGCTGAGCTGCCTTCCTGAGCTTCTCCCCATAACTGAGAGTCCCAGAGCAGAGTTGCAGGGGCCCCAGACATCCCCGATGGGCGCCCTCCCACCTCCACCTCCCTTGATTGCTGCCGTCCCCGAGTGGGGGCTCCTGGAAGCTGTCGGGTCTGCTCCCCTCTCTGAGCCCCTCTAATGACGGGAGCTCACTTCCTCTCGGGCAGCCTGCCCCACTGCAGCGTGACTCCCATGTCAGAAAGTCTTCCCTGAGAGGAAGCTGAAATAGTTGACTTGATGGCACTTTGGTCCTCTCTCTGCAGTCTGGATTGGCCCCCAAAGTGGCCGCATGCCCACCCTGTAGAAATTTCCTGGTGGCAGTCTTGTCCGCCTTATAACTTTCCTTCATGTCAAATGGTCCCCAGTTCCCTTTCTGTCCTGGAGTCCACTGCCAGGTGCTGCTGAGTGACTGTCCCCTGCATGGGTGACGGAGTAGCACAGGGCATTACAATAGCAATGATAGAATCGTAACCATGACCGAGTGCTTCCTCCGTGGCGGGCACAGGGCGACACTGGACCACCACTCCCTGATTTTAACTCTGCTGCAGCCTCTGAGCAGAGGGCAGCTCCCTTTCCTTCACTCACTCGAGCCCAAACCTGCCAGTCACCCTTGATTTTCCTCCGTCCTCCTCACGTTTAGTCCATCAGTAACCCTGCCAGCTCCACATCCCACACTCCCCGAATCTGACCCCTTTTTGTCATCTCCCCTGCCGCCCGGTCCAAGCCACCGTCACCTCTAGCCTGGGTTATGGCAGGAGCCTCCAGACAGTCTCCCCAAGTCTGCCCTTGCCCTCCCTCAGTCTATTTTTAACACAGGGGCTGGTGTGCCCTGCTAGGACATGAATCTCTTCACGTCACTTCGTGGTTTTCCATCTTGTCTCAGAGTAAAAGCCAGAGGCTTTATTATGGCCCTGCAAGACCTGGTCCCTGGGACCTTTCCCTTCCCCTGCCCCCTCACTCACTCTGCCTCAGCCACAGTGGCCACCTTGTGCCTTGGAAACCCCAAGCATGTTCCCCACTCAGGGACTTTGCATGTGTTGGTCCCTCTTTCTAGAACATTCTACCTGCAGATCTCTGCACACTCACAGTCTCATCTTCTCACCTTCTTCAGGCCTTTTACCCAGCTGTCCCCTCAGCACGGCCTTCCCTGACCATTCTGTCTACAGTTGCAGTCCCCTGACACCCACACCCCCTTCTCCTTAGCATTTACCACTGTCTTGCGCACGGTGCATCTATCTTGCTGATTGTCTGACCGCCACCTGGTCCATCAGAATGCCACTTCCACGAGGGCAGAAATCCTTGTCTGTTGGATTCGTTGCTATACCTCTAGCACCTAGAACAGTGCCTGGTATAGAGTAAGAGCTTAGTATCTGTTGAAAGAATACAGTGAAGAGCCCAGTGAGGTTCATGCCATCCCTGTAATTACCAAAGGAGATGGGCTCAGAGAGGTTGAGCTATTTGCTATTATCACACAGACAGTAGATGTCAGAACCCAGCTTGGTGGCCCTGAAGTCACAGAATACACCCTTGAGGCCGGGGACCAAAAAGCTCGTGCAAAGAGCCTGAACTCTTAAGCACTGCCCTGCCTGGCCAACATAGGGCAATGTTTGGGGAAAGGGGTGGGCAGGGTGCTGGGCCGCAGTGGGCCCCTCGCCCTTATGCTTGGCCCCAATCTCATGGACAGGTTCCCATCCAACCACTTTGGGACGCTGACAGGCCTGCAGTCGCTCATCAGTGCTGTGTTTGCCCTGCTCCAGCAGCCACTCTTCATGGCCATGGTGGGACCCCTGAAAGGAGAGCCATTCTGGGTGAGAGCTGGGATTGGCATGGGGGCAGAAGGACTCACCTTCCTGGGTGCAGGGAAAGAAGAAGGGTCGGGGTGGGGAGTTATATGTGATAGAATCTGTCACTCTTCTTATCAGCCAGAAGGCACCTCGGAGGTCTCTAATTGGGTTCCCAAGCTGGATGCCCATCAGAGCCATTCACAGAGTGTTTTAAAAATACAGATTCCCCAGCCTACTGAATCAGCATCTCTTGGCCTGACCCTAGGAGTCTGTTTTTAATAAGTTCCCAGGTGATTTGAGAAGTGGCTCGGTCCGGATCCCTGAGCCTGTGTTCCAGAACCATGCAGTGGACCTCTCTCCAGCACTCCTGAACGGGGGCCTTCCCTCTTAGTTCAAATACCCTCAGTGACGGGGCGCACACTCCTGCACGAGGCAGCACTGTTATTGTTAGAAAGGCTTTTTCTTAATGTTGGACTGCCATCTGCCTCCCTGAATCTGGTCTTCTCTCTGCCCTCCTCCCACAAGAACTAAGATGAAATAACCGCCACCATCTACTGAACATTCATTGCATGCTTAGCATGCTGGGCACCTTTTTTTCGCTCAATCTTTGCCACGACAGTCCTGAGAAGGAGACATCTAGAGTTGGGATTACATGCCCCAAATCACACAGTGAATAATACAGAGTGGGATGTGGACCGAGTCAGAGCCATGGGAGGGCCACTGTCCAGGGCCTTCCAGGCCTCTCTCCTGCACAGCCCAGCTCCTTTAACTGTGCCTCAGAGCCTCCTCTCACTACCCTGAACAGGATCCCATTGGTAGACATCTCCAGTGGTCAAAGTCACTAGTCTAGAAGGTCCCATTTCAGGAGCAGCCTGACCAGCTCAGACACCTGTAGTGCTGTCGCCTTGCTCATACGTGCCCAGAGGGTGCCCTATCGTGTGGGCACCGACCAGGCTCTGCCACTTTGAGACCCAACCGTTCTCATCTCAGCCACTTTGCAGGGCTGCTGGACGTTAAAGGAGATATTGGTGGAACAGCGATTGCACACAATAAGTGCTAGCTATGTCTGTCATCCTGGCCCAGGGCCTGGAGCAGAAATGGCTGCCTTCTTCTCCCTGTTGGAGGATAAAAAGGGTCCTTGAGGATGGTGAAGGAAAATGGGTACTAACTTGACTCTTTGTTTCTGTCTCCTTGCTGTAAAGGTGAATCTGGGCCTCCTGCTGTTCTCACTCCTGGGATTCCTGTTACCTTCCTACCTCTTCTACTACCGTACCCGGCTCCAGAGGGAGTACACTGCCAATGGGATGGGCCCACTGAAGGTGCTCAGCGGTCCCCAGATGACTGCATAGACTCCTTGAGACCAAAGGACTTGGAAGACAAGCCACCAAGTTCTGAGCAACCAAAGGGAATGCCCCACATGGCTTTTCTACCTGTAGCCATATGCATAGAGCCCGGGGCCATGGATTTATAAATACCAAGAGAAGTTCTATTTTTGTAGGAACTTGCAAATAGAAAAAAACCAAAAATACTCTTAAAAAAAAATCCCCCAAAGCAACGCTCCATTGACTGAAGACAGCTCCTGTGCTAGAGGGATTGGGCCTTCGTCCTCCTTGGATTGGAGGAGACCAGGGTATGGGGCTGCCCTTTCTCCGGGTCTTCGTCCTAAAGGCCTGCCTCCTGGTGCCTCTTGGGAGCTTGTGGGATCAGCGAACAGCCTACCCCTCAGGTCCCAGCTGCCAAGAGTGTGCAAGAGTGCATATGTATGTGTGTGTGTGCATGTGTGTGTGTGACACAACCTTCCCCTCAGAAAGAAAGGGGGTTGAGTTGCCAGCTGTGTCCTGGATGGGGTAAGGGGGTCAGCCCCTTCAGGGCTTGGAGGGCAGGTTCTCTCCCTGGTGCTGCTGCTTGCAGGTCTTAGAGGAAATAAAAAGGGAAGTGAGAGACTGGCTGATGTATGCCTGTGCTTTGGCAGTGTGGGGAGTGTCTTCCTACACCCCCTGTCCTTTCTCACCCAGGCTCTGCTGGGCATTAAGTAGGACGCTTGCAGTGCCAGCCTGTCTGCCTCTGGCTGTCAGGCTCACCTCCCTGTTCTCAACCATGCCCTCCCCTTAGTGCTTGGAGGGAGTCCAGATCCTACCCCCCGCTTCCCAGGGTTTGGGGTATATCCAAGAAGTTGGCCTCCATACAGGGGATCAGGGCAGAATGCTTTAGAAAGAATGCTAAGGGATGATTCAAACTTTCCTACCAAAATCCTGTTGGGGCCTGCTGAAAGTAACATTTTTTGTAATTTCCTATTTTATCTTAAAATTTCATGCAAATTTTGAGCTTCACATACTATATTTACATTTATTTTTAGCATTAAAGTGAGGCTTTAAAATAAATAAATAAAATAAAGTGAAGCCTTAAAGTTATCTACATCAAGCTAAGATACCATCTTTGAGGACAGGAGATTCTCCAGGAAGATCTACCATATTTATCCCAGCCCTAACACCTGCTTGTGCCCCTAGGACATAAGCCCTAGAGGTTAGAGTCAGTCATACAATGGAGAGCTGACTGACATTTGTCCAGGATCTGTCAGTTCTACACAGGGATCCCATTTCATCCCAACTGTAGGCCAGGAGGTCGGTACTGTCATCCTGTTTTGTAGACTTAGGAAACAAGCCCAGAAAGGTTAAGGCACAAGCTCAAATGCACACAGTGGTAAGCAGTGGAGCTGAGCTTGGGACCCTGGCAGTCTGCAGTCCTAGCCACAGGTCTTACTGGGAGATTAGGAGCAGGAAGGCGGTCCCAAGCTTCTTCCCAGCTCTCAGCTGCCCTCGGGGCTGAGTGACCTCAAAGGTCTTATCCATCCTCACCTCCCCAGAAAATCCCTTAGAGGACTGTGCTTTGGCACTGTGGGGATGTTAGCCCTTGAAGGCAGCATGACAGATAAGCCCTTCTCCCTGTTTGTCTTAAGTTCTCTTGTTAAGTTAATAAAACAGACTGACCGGCCCATTTTACAGATGAGAAAACATGCCCAGGGGGTCCTGGAGACAGCAAAGTCACCTAACAGATCCTGACTTCCAACACTGCCTTTTCTGCAAAGTACGAAATCATAATTGGACAGCATCCACCGTGGTTGCGGCCGGCTCCCAGAGGGCCTGCCGGAGTCTCCCCGTGCCCTCTGTCCCTTAATTTCTGAGTAGTCTGGCGGAGGCCGAGCAGTCGTGGGATCCCAGCAGACTTGGGTGAGGACGGACGGAGGAAGCAAGGCGTGTGCTCGGTGTGCCCAGCAGGCGGCGCTGCGTGGCTGCGGCCGGCACGGGTGGGAGGAGGCGGAGAGCCGGGAGGGGACCCCCCCACCCTCAAGTCCGCCCTTCTCGGGTCTTGGCCTCCGGGAAGCGTACCCCGGGCTCGCTCTGTCCCTCCTTGGAGTTCTCCCCACGCCTTCCCCGACCCCCACCCTTTCAAGCCTTATCTCCAGCCCCACCGACCCTCGCAGCGGAAGGAGGGGGCTCGACGCTCGTCCCCGGCCGGCGGAGGCTTGGGACCGGGTGGGCAATGGGGGCAGGAATTTGGGCCTCCTCGGAGAGGGGCGTGTCCTCACTGCCCCGCTCCTGGGGAGGGGGCTGGGCAGGGGCGGGAGCGAGCCCG